TTAATTTTATAGCGAATTTTGAAAATTGTCGATGAAAATTGCAACATCGTAAATTTGATCAAAACTTCAAATATTGTTTTCTCAAAAACTAAAAGCTATTTTTCAAAACCTATTGGTTTATTGGAAAGAGGACACTCTTATTAACACTTTGGGAAATTTTTATACTCATATTCCACGAAATGGATTATATAGGAATTTTTAAAACTTAATCGGCGAAAAAGGAAAAATTCGAACAAATTGTCGATCATTTCAAAAATTTATTTTTCTAAAAGTAAAAGCGATTTTTCAAAACGGCTTGTTGCATTAAAAAGATCATACATTAATTAATAATTGGTGATATTTCCAGAAGGATCCTTCCAGAGATTAATTTTATAGCGAATTTTGAAAATTATCGATGAAAATTGCAACATCGTAAATTTTATCAAAACATCAAATATTGTTTTCTCAAAAACTAAAAGTTATTTTTCAAAACCTGTTGGTTTATTAGAAAGAGGACATTCTTATTAACACTTTGGAAAATTGTCATACTCATATTCCACGAAATGGATTACATACGAATTTTTAAAACTTAAGCGGCAAAAAATGCAAAATTCGAAAAAATTGTCGATCATTTCAAAAATTTATTTCTCAAAAACTAAAAGCGATTTCTCAAAACTGCTTGTTGCATTAAAAAGAGGATACTTTAATTAATAATTGGTAATATTTCTAGAAGGATCCTTCAAGAAATTAATTTTATAGCGAATTTTGAAAATTGTCGATGAAAATTGCAACATCGTAAATTTGATCAAAACTTCAAATATTGTTTTNAATTTATTTCTCAAAAACTAAAGCGATTTTTTAAAACGGCTTCTTGTATTAAAAAGTGGATACTTTAATTAATAATCGAAAGTGATAACAGCGACAGTTCTGTTAGTAATGAATGTGATGATGAATTACAAGCGAAGAGAAGAAGATTTTATATATCGTATTGGGATTGCTACAATAAGGTTGCTAATGACAAACCTGATATAAATAAAGTTGTATTCAATGAAAAAAGTCCTATGGGGTTGAACTTGATTATTATCTGTAGTGATGGGAATACCGCTCATAATCGTGTCGCTCTCCAGGAACGGTCGCTACACAAAAATACCGTTCCAAAATACCGTGACCTTGAGCAAAAACATAGCTGGTTTCGTAGCAAGTTAGAAAAAATTATATATTCCCATATATTATCATAATTTAAAAAAATTACAGGCTATCCGAAAATTGAAAAAAATATATATATTAAGGNAATTTTATCAAAACTTCAAATATTGTTTTCTCAAAAACTAAAAGTTATTTTTCAAAACGTGTTGGTTCATTGTAAAGAGGATACTCTTATTAACACTTTGAGAAATTTTCATACTCATATTCCACGAAATGGATTATATACAAATTATTAAAACTTAATCGGCGAAAATTGCAATATTCGAAAAAATTGTCAATCATTTTAAAAATTTATTTCTCAAAAACTAAAAGCGATTTTTCAAAACGGCTTGTTGCATTAAAAAGAGGATACTTTAATTAATAATTGGTGATATTTCCACAAGGATCCTTCAAGAAATTAATTTTATAGCGAATTTTGAAAATTATCGATGAAAATTGCAACATCGAAAATTTTATCAAAACTTCAAATATTGTTTTCTCAAAAACTAAAAGCTAGTTTTCAAAGCGGGTTCGTTCATTAGAAAGAAGACACTTTTATTAACACTTTGGGAAATTTTCATACTCATATTCCAAGAACTGGATTTTATACGAATTTTTAAAACTTAATCGATGCAAATTGCAAAATTCGAAAAAATTGTCGATCATTTCAAAAATTTATTTCTCAAAAACTAAAGCGATTTTTTAAAACGGCTTCTTGTATTAAAAAGTGGATACTTTAATTAATAATCGAAAGTGATAACAGCGACAGTTCTGTTAGTAATGAATGTGATGATGAATTACAAGCGAAGAGAAGAAGATTTTATATATCGTATTGGGATTGCTACAATAAGGTTGCTAATGACAAACCTGATATAAATAAAGTTGTATTCAATGAAAAAAGTCCTATGGGTTTGAACTTGATTATTATCTGTAGTGATGGGAATACCGCTCATAATCGTGTCGCGCTCCAGGAACGGTCGCTACACAAAAATACCGTTCCAAAATACCGTGACCTTGAGCAAAAACATAGCTGGTTTCGTAGCAAGTTAGAAAAAATTATATATTCCCATATATTATCATAATTTAACCCTAGTATCTTAACCAAAAAAATAACTAAAGTAACTATAATTTCGCCGGGCCTGAGAGGCCCGGTTTATGCATCCTAGGGTTAAAAAAATTACACGCTACCTGAAAATTGAAAAAAAAAATATATTAAGGGAACCTTAAACAAATATCAATATAACGGCGTTTAACCTGACTGTCTTATATGTATAACGTTATAATATAACGTTTGGAATCGGGTATTTTAAAAATCGCGCCGAATAGTACGTTCCATTAGAATAATGCTCCAAAATATCGTTCCTCAAATACTGAACCATCACTAATTATCTGCAGTGTCCAAGACCTAAAAGAGATATTAATTCCTGTGAATGGTGAAGCCGGATATTTGGTGACTATCCGGTCGGATTTTAACAAATGGCCGGATAGGCTGGATACCGGATATCCGTTCCACCACTAGTAAAAACTATATTATTATGAAATGTTGTGATTCTTTATTTATTACTGTATTATTGTTTTTTTTTAATTTCTATATTAGGTTTTACTTCGAATCAGAACAAGGATTATTTCCAAACACGGAATTTGTGTTTGACGTAGAACTGCCGGTGGATTTTGTTCCAAAAAATGCTGACGGCGAAGTGCAAAAGTTCGAACTCCTGCCTGCGAAAAAATGTTTAGAAAGGTTATTTAGTTCAGATTTTAAAACAACTAGTATACCGGTCGCGTTAGATTTTTTGTTACGTCACGGAGTAATATCGCCCGAAAACGGTAGGTTTACTCATACGATTTAAAACTAATTAATTAAAAATTGCGATTTTTAGAAACACATTATACAAGGATAGTAGAATTACTTCACGTTCCATTACAAAAAATATACAATAATCATCACATTTGTAAAGAAAACGGTGGCAACGAAGACCATGTATAATAATAAATTGGAAGCCGATAATAACTTTTTTACAGTTTTTAGGTAATAATAGCGTAAAATATGATTAAAAAAAATAGCGAAAAGCCTTAATTCATTTTTTAAAAACATTTTTCAAAATCTGTATATTTTTTAGTAAAATCGTTTTTTAATATACATATTTAGATATGAGCTTCACATTTTTGTACTTGTAATGTGCTTTTTAAAAGAAAGAAAACAGGTAATAATAATATGGATAACTTCCATAAAACATAAATTTTAGGATTCGATAATAATCGATACTTGAAAATTGTAAAAAAAATTTGATATTTTTCTTTTGAAATTAAATCGTCCTGTAACATTTTTTTCCGTTCTTTTTTGTTGATGTAAATAACGTTTTTGCGTTTTAACCATTGGGTTACTGACGTTTGTGATAATTCTTCTCCCGGATTATTGATTTATTTTTAGACCTACTACTATTTATTGCTTTATTTATTAATTGTACAATTTAGAAAAACTTTATTTTTATTAATTATTATACTTTAATCAAATTATTGTTTTCTTCTTAAAAATATAATTGTGCATCTTGTGGTATATTTCTTTTCTTTTTAATCTTCACATTTAGTCAAATGTATGGCTAAGGCCCACTACTACCACTCATAGTTAATAGTTAAGGTCTCTGATAGCGTTATCTATCGGATAGCTTAAAAATTGGTTACTACCACTCTATTTATCTTATAGATACCGCTATCCAAGGGATAACTTTTGAAATATCTGTAACCCGTGGATTGGGTGTCGGATAAGTTGCTATCTAAGGGTTAACTGCGGATACCTAACCTCAAATAGGATTTATACTGACGTATAAAATTCGAGCGTTTTACTATTTCAGTTAAAATAAGAAAAGTAATATAAACTTGAATAAAAAACTATTAATGATTAACATTAGATAAAATCATCATGGATAATTTCTTCGACATTGATGATGAAGGACAAATTTTTGAAGAAATCAATGAATTATTTCCTATAAGAAGCGAAAGGATAATAAGGAGTAGAGTTGAGATTTCGTGTCTCGAAAAAAAGTTTTCATCACCTTTTGAAACAAATAGAAGATGTAATAAAACCTCCATCCATGACGTAAGTAAGTAAGTAAAGTTGATTCCTATTATTTAATGTAAAATACATCAAAATTTTAGTAATAATGCTGTACAGTCGTGTTCACGGGAAATGCGCACTCAAGGTCAAGCGTTGTTGTGAGATCCGATATGCCGCTGGCTAACCTGGACCGCCACAAGTCCCTTTTCCACGAGCTTCGTGTGTGCTCGGCTCAGTCCGTTTAGGCAGCGGCATGTCGGATCTCAAAACAGCGCTTGACCTTGAGTGCGCATTTCCAGTGAACACGATTGTACCTCCTTCAAACCGTTTGTTGCTGACTCTTCGGTTTTATGCAATAGGTAACATGTTGCTATCCATAGCAGATTTTGCAGGAATGAGTGTACAATTGGCATCTTCAGTTAGTTGTGCCAATAAAAAAATAAAATAAAATCACATTTTAACATACAATAATACGAGATATACATACTTGTTGCTTTCCTTGCCATGTAACTGCATCACTTTTTTGTTTTCTATTACGTTTTTATACTTGATAACAAATTCAAGATGCCTTTTCTCAGTCTCCATTTCCAAATTTTAATTTTCAGGTTAGAACAGGTTAGAATATCGTCAAAATACCTAATAGCAAGGTTTATAGAACATAAGGTTACCTCATTCCCTATGCCTCTGTAGTATCGATTATTACCCCGCAAATTGACGTCACTGGTTCGATACAGTCAGAATAAAAGATAGCCTATACATGTGCCTATACGTGACAACACGATGCGAGGTTTAAATATTTTATATAGACTGTACCACAGTATAGGTGGTGTTGTGTTGTTCATAGAACCAGCTACGTCACTGACCCACCTTGCCTCTCAGAGGAGGAGAATCGGTATNCCTAACCTAACTTTCGACGTAGATCATTTTGCGAGCGATTATTTTATTATTTTTTTTATTTTATTAATTTATTTTTTTTTTGCGATATAAAATAATTCTCTTTATATAATTAAAAACAAATTGGATTTTGTACAAATTTTATTTTTTATTAAGTTCTTTTTTTAACAATTCTATTCTTAAACGCCCGGTTGATGACAACTTTCATGACAGATCATGACAACTTTGTGAAGTTCTGCGCATGTGCGTATATCAACCCTCGGTCAACCTCGACTTTTACCTGCGGTTGGGATAACTTCCCTTTAACCGAAACTTTATTACTCAACCGTAGGTCGTACAACGCAAACTAACGGTTAACCGGAGGTTGACAGTGAATCTACTGTCAACCGTACATTGTAAAACCGGCCCTAAGTCATATGCAATGGTCATGCAGCCCTAACAGATATGTGATAAATAATACTGTTATTAATAAAAAAAAATTTTACTTAGCTTCCTACTTTACAGTAGGAAGTTTTGCACCAGGGACTGAGGTCGAATTATGATTTGAAGTTGGACTTACTACGCCAGTGTACGGATAATATGCTCGACAACAAAATCGCTAAAAAATTTCTTGGAGTTAAAAGTTAAAAAAAAAATTTTTGTGTTTTTCTTTAATTTTATGATCTATTATACAGGTGTCTCACGTAACTGGGTCGTTACAACTTCCACATTCTAAACTTTCAATCTAAAATATTTTCAAGATAGCATCAGCTAAAATATATGGATGATAAACTGGCCCTAGAACATATTTTGGTAAGCTTTCCGGAACGAGTTTCTGGCGAAGACTATGCACGCCATCTTTGTGCATCTTTTACTGAATTTTGAAATTGACTCCATAAAATGCTTAAAATCTCTGATATATGATTTTGTTTTACTTGTCTTGAATCATTTCAAGAAACTTCGCCAATTAGTACGTTGGAGAATTTATATCACTGTCAATATCTGGCTTATGGAGTTTAGGTAATCCATAAATTCTTTGTTGTACTTGAACCTGTACAAACAAACTTTTTTGTTGTTCTACTAAAATTTCTCTAGATTAGATCTTTCTCGTATTCTTTCATGTTGACGACCACGCTGTCATTACCCTTTTTTGCTGGTAGAATGATATCTGTTTTTTCTGATCGTCCATGAATGTATTATAATTTATTCACCTGTATACAGGGTCCTTCAGCTCAGCTCCCGTCTTCTGTAGCTCAGTTATTAATTAATTTAGGAGTTTAATATTTTGCAGGCTTATACTGTATCTCAGGTCGCATTTCAGGAAATTATTATTGATTATACAGAGTGTCCCAAAAAAGTGTGACGCCATGATGATATATTTTTTTAAATGGCACGGTATATCTTTTCTCACATTTTTGGGTGTCTTTTATGGGTGCCTACATAGTTCCAAAATTTTATTGAAATCGGCTGAATGACAGCAGCACAAAAAAATAAAAACGAAAAAAAAATCGCTGGTTTTAAAAATTAATCATAATTATAAACAGCGCCTCATTAATAAAGGTTCATGTCAAACTTATTAAGTAAGGTCTAGTGGATTCGTTAACCAAGTTCCATTGATTCAAAATTATACAGGCTGGCCAACATGTAGTGTCAAAACTTTCAAACTTTAAAGCATTTTATCTTTCTTATTTTAAATTGGAACCCTACATATTTTTACGTCAATCGATGCAGAATTAAAAAACAAAAATGTTTTGTAATAACAACCCCATCACAATTCCTGACATTTAAAATGTTATTCGCCGAAATCTCGTATTTCATCTACTCCAACGGCAATTTTATCTAATAAAAATCGAACGAATGAAAAACAATTTATTTCATAAAAATATAACATAAATAAACAATAATTCTGTTTATGTGAATAGCTATTGAAATTGATTTTCGATATGTCGGCCGTTTTCTTCAATGCACAAACGTAGACGAGTATAAAATGATCTTGCCACTTTTCTTAATAGATCGGGTGTAATGTTTAGAAATGCTTCCCGGATTCTATGCTGCATATTTTCTGGCGTTGTTGGAGGTTGTTTATAAACGATTTCCTTAACATAGCCCCACAGAAAGAAATCGAGTTTAGTTATGTCGGGTGATCGAGGAGGCCAAGCAACTGGTCCTCTTCTACCAATCCACCAATTTCAATTTCAATTCGGTATTCAAAATTTTTAAAACCGGGATACCGGTATTAATACCGGTATTACTATAAAAAAGTTTACTCACTAAATTACAATTCCTAGATATATCTAATTGTAAGATTTTTTCCCCTCTGCGGCTTCACCTCTACTAACAACAGGTTAATTCCTACTATATTTTTAGATTGGCAACAAAGCATAAAATACAGAATCTGAGAAGATAATCAAAAAATGGAAAGATATTAAGAATCTGTACAAAGTACCAATAAACTTAAAGGTCTGGTAATACCATTACCAGACCTTTAAGGTAATACCATTATTGTTTTGTTGTCTTTCGCTTGGTCCAAAGTTTCAACTTCACTACCGCGTAAAAAAATGAAATTACACTTCATCATCTGAAGCTCTGTGGAATTCTTTCGAATTCCTGCTTTGGAATTTTCTGGAAAGATGCAGATTCAAGAAAGAAACTTTAAGATAATGGCTCTTGGTAGTTTGTCAGACTTATCATACTACTGTTATACTTGATGGGACACTACACGAATCAAACTGACCTGAAATACCATTATGGAGTAAAAACTCCAAAATTAGTTATATGCAGAGAGTATTTTATTGTTGGCCAGGTATGACAAATTTATTGAACACGAACATTAAGTTGTCGTCATCAAAGGTTGAGTCTTCGTTATATTCAACATTCTGTCAGAGTGCAAAATGATATTTCTTGTAGATGGTATTCACATTGATCAAAAAATGTCACTTGAAAAAATGAGGTTAGTACGGACATAAGATAGATAACAAATTTCTGTTTGGTCAACATCATTTTCCAGCAGAGCTTTAAACACGGCCGTTTTCAATCGGTCACCTCCGGCTAGCATTTTTTTTTAATGAAACGTCAAAAAATGTCACT